GTCGAATTTCTGTTTATATTATTCAGATAGTTGTACATTCTTTACACCACACAGCTGTCTGGTTTCTATTATACTTTTTTATTTTAATTTAAATATTCTCTAAAATTTTGAAAATTAATGAAGTTAATCTTTTTTATACCTGTTCAAGACCGTGTGACCCGAAGAGAATGAGCTAACCTAAAACTAAAAAATTAAAATTGTCCTGACTATACGTTTAAAATAGCCTGCATGCAGGCAGGCGGTCTAAAATACCGCCTGCTGGGTTTGGCAGTGTAATTTGATAACCGCCCACTTTTTTGTCCGGATCCAATTAGCCAATCAGCAAACACTATATTAATAATCAAACTGTCAAACTATGTTATTGTTTGGTCGCAAAATTGCTAATGTATAAAAATATGTCGAAAGAAACGCCATTGAAAGTTTCAATCAGGACCGAATATTAAGGCGAATAACGACAAGAGGTAGAAAAGCAAGCGCGGAAAATGTAAATGACTTGTCGTTTGTTTAAGTGTGCTTTGGAACTAAAATATGGGGCAATACGCCAATAGAGAAAATATCTTATATTCTTATATATCGTCGGAGAAATTATTTATTTAAGGCAAGCAAAAGAAACGTTACGACAGTGGTAACCTTGGCCGAAATAAGTGGAACTGCCGGTTCAGTTAATTTAGGAATCGAAGTTAATTCTACCTCGAAACTATCTGACCAAGTTTGTAAACCGTGTGAGCGAAATATCCGAAATGCAAGCGAACTGATTGCCATAATCAAACGAGACATAAACGCGTTGCCTGTGTACGTTAGAACAAATAGACAGTTGTATTTTAAAAACCTCAGTTGCCAATATGAACTGTCTCCCTAACGAAGCCGTGTGGTAACGAAAGCCTTAAGGCCCGGTCACACTACACAACGATACGGATACGATAAATTGTAAACACGCGATAATTGGCAAAAAAATTGTGTTAGTGTCCACACAACAACGAAAATGATAAAATTATCGTTAGACGATAACGATAACGATTTTAAAATCGCTCACCTGAGCGATTTTTTTTTCAGCCGGACGATAACGATAAATTTTTGACCAATCAGCGCGCGTATACAAGTTATCGTATCGTTATCGTTGTGTAGTGTGACCTGGGCTTTAAGGTTACAGGACACCCTTTTTGGCGTTTTGCGGAAAATCGCTACTGCGCGCTCAATATCAGTCCGATTTTCATCAAATTTTCACCAAATGTTCTAGATAGATAGAAGATAGATAGAAAAACTTTATTTACCCACGCTAACCCTGTCAACCGAAGCTGATTTCCACAGGGGGCGTGTACGAAGAAAATTACAGTAATAGGAAAGAAATTACAGTAGTGAAACGTAGTTACATTAATAGTTATTTACAAATAGTAGAAATAGTATTAAGAAGTTCAAATAGTATAGAAATAGTATAATAGTTATTTACGTATGGTAGAACTATTGGTATATTTTATATTTAGAAAATGTGAGCAGCAATATTTTTTTGAAAGCATGACAGAGATTTGCTTTCCCTAATTTCATTTGGAATAGAGTTCCATAGCTTAGCACCATCATACATGAAACTATTTTTCATGCTATTGGTGCGTGGTTGTGGCAGACAAAGGCCACTTGAAATACTTCTGGGTCTATAATTTGTTATCTCATTTTTATAAGTAAAGAGGTTTGTGAGAGATTCGGGGCCTGTCCCATTTAGAGTTTTGTACATCATTGTTGCTTTTGCCTTTTTTCTCATGATATGAAGTGGTTTCCACCCTAAAGCACATAAAGCAATAGAATGATCTACATCATTGCTCATATTTGAAATAGTTCGAGCAGCTCTGTTTTGGAGCTTTTGTAGTCGTTTAGATTGTATTTCCCCAAATACATCCCAAACTTCAGAACAATAATCGAAGTAGGGACGTACGATGGCATTGTATATGGAGATAAGTGTGTCTCTTTCAGCAATAAATGGTTTGACACGACGTAGAGCTGAGATTCCTGATGTTATTTTTTTGCAAATATTTTCTGTATTAGGCTTCCAAGACAAATGCTGATCAATTGTTGTTTCCAGAGTTCTGGATTTATTAACTTGCTGGATTTGTTTGTTTTCAATTAAAATATTTGGTTGAGAATTTGAAGCATTTCTTATCATTTGTGGAGAGCCAATCAACATAAATTCTGTTTTAGCCACATTCAAGTTAGGGTAAAGTTGAAAATTAACAAGCAATAAAATAATGTAAGAATTATTCAGGAAAATCTTAAGTCGCGGTACCTTTACGCTTTTGAGTTGTGCTCCTGCTGGTTTTAAGTTATATTTATGAAAATATCATTTTTATACAGTAAAATAATTGTTCTAAAAAATTGTGTTCGGAAATTTTTGTTTATTTCGTCATTCCGCTGATATGGCGATTTCTTTGACGACTGCAATATATTTCTGAATTGTTTGAGTGAATTGCTCTTTATTTTTAAAATATCCAAAATTAAATAAAAGCCGAACACAATTTTGAAACTGACGTATTTAGCTATGTCCCGTGAAAATTTGAGAAAAATTGGTTAAAACCCGCAGGAGCATAACTCGTTTGAAAATCAGTAATTACCGTAAAATTTTTCGTGAGAAAATTGAATTTGAATATTACATTTTCAATGTTTTTCTTATTGCAGCGAAATGTATTTTATTAAATAACTTTGCGAGTTTTCAACATTTTTCGTTCAAACTTGGTCAGATAGTAGAACTAGTCTAATGCTTTTATTGAAACCAATAAAAAAAATTTAGGCAAAATTAACACTCAAAGGGTGTTCTGTAACCTTAAAAAGTTCAGAAAGTGAAGCGGCTAATTGGCATAAGCGTAATATAGTCCTGTTATAAAGTCGTGTTATATTTTGTCGCGCCAACAAGAACAATGTAAAAATCAAGCTTTTTCCATAGAATGGCCAAAACATTCTTTCCAAGGAGTAAATCTTTAACTGCTATCTCTTGCTCGCGTTTGACAATCAGTTCGCGTTTCGACTTTCGAGAAGCGTTCGGTTTTACAACACCTATTAATTAAAGCGGACGCATGCATCATTAAAGTGTCAAACGTATGTTTACATATTAAAGTGTATTCACTTTTGAGTGACAGCGGCTCAGACTCGCAGCCAATCATCAATTCCCGTCCACTGGTGGACGGGGAATTGGATTACACTGCCAAACCCAGCAGGCGGTATTTCCCTAGCCTGCATGGCAGGCGGTTCCTAAAATTGGGCAAGCCTGGGAAATACTAGCCTGCCACCGCCTGCCATGCAGGCTACGTTTAAAACTGTACTTTTACTACTTAACTGTTCATTACATAACTTAACACGCATTGACCGGTGGTCTTCATCCGCTCTCTGTTTAGTCACCAGGCAATAATTATACAGTTCAACTCGTTCAATTATAACATTACTGTTCTTGTGCCTTTTACACTATGCTAATCATTAAAACAGGTCGAATAAGTTATAACAAAAATAAGAGTCATCTAATTATCGACACCTATCATCCTCAGTATCAGTATATATACTGTTCCAATTAGATTTACACAGCAATATTGAGTTCTCAATTTTCGTATCGTTCAGAAGATTGTTAATTCTTGATTCAGTGAACGCAAGGAACCATGCCGTTATTGTTGCCACGTGCACACAGTGGAGTAATCCTTCACATCTGGGCAATTCAAACATTTTGAAACATTCAAGACACAATTTTTCTTGTTTCCACTGCATCTCTGTAGGTAATTTCAGGGAGCTATCCCTATTCAATCTGTCTCTTTTTCATTTGCATACTATATTATAGCTGATATGTTCAATTTTCAAGAAGTGTAGGTCAGTAAATATTTAAACGAGTACAATTTTATGTTAAAGTATCTAGATTAATAATATTTGTTTGCTTTGTGGAAAACACCATGCATATTCATTACAATGTACAAAGAACACTTTCGCCGACTTTAGTTTCTCTTAACAATGTAAAATTTAGGTTTTTTTACCATTAATACATTATGGGACAAATGTTCCCAACTTCTCTACTTCCGCTTCCATTCAAAACGCGCTGGAGCGGTATCCCCCAATATGAGAGTTAAAGGCCGTTTTCCACTTTAACGCTATCGTCGCGGAGCGTATATTTCTTTATTACCTGTTCGCAGGGGCGTCCAAAGCTGACGGCCGAGGGGGAGGGCACATTTTTAGTTTGGGGGGTTAATGGTTAACTATAAACCACAAAGTTGATTGATATTGTTTCAGTTATGGGTGTGGACAAAATAATTTGAGATATTTTATGACATTTTGTTACCTTTAGAATCTTGTAAATCTCCTTTTAATGTGCGCGAAATGGCAGTTTAGAGACTGTAGTTTTCAAATTTTCCGGGGGCATGCTCCAGAACCCCCTACATTGTCACTCGCCTTCGGCGGCTGCTAAGTGTGCCCCCACTTTTCGAGTCGTTCCAACGCCCCTGCCTGTCCCTGATTATTAAATTGGAAATAATGACTGCGACACAAAAGAAAATGCTAGGATACGGTTGAAGTGGAAAACAGCCTTAAAAATGCATGCAAACGTTAACCAATCAAAAGTGGAACCGAAAATAGCGAATCTCGTAACTATATGTTTTGAATTTAAATACTGCATATGTGATGCCGTTGGGATACTGTATTTATAATAAGGGAATTCAGCTCAGACAAACAAAAGCCATCCAAATTGTCATCCATATCCTTTCATAGAGTGGTTTCTAACTTTTATTATGTTTCCTAAAATTTTGGAGTTACATAATGCATTAATGAAATTATGTGCCTTGTATCTACGATACGCAGACCGCTGTGGTATACACGATTGCTCACAATGAATGCCTAATGACGACAAGGACGATGATGAACATTAAGGGATAAAATAGACTGAGTGTATTGGAAGCTATTATAATGGGTAACATCGAGCCTAGTTCCTCACCTTTTCGCTTCCGCCTTACAATTTTAGGATGGTATTGTTGGGGGAGTCTTCTGAGTTCTGGGAATGGGCGGGAAGGCCTGGGGCTAGGCTGGACCGGTACTATAAACTGGTATGGAGAATGTGCGGTTGGTATCTAAGGGTAGTGATAATTGATCAAACTAGAGGGAGACAAATATACCTGATGAGTTGCAAACTCACGAAAGCGAAGGCTAAGTACTTTTCGGAAGTGTATATTACACAATATGATATTATACATGAGGTCAGCTCGTTCAATAGTACATTTTTATTGATATCAACCAAAAATCTGATATTGCTTCACAAAAGTCATTAAAACACTTTTTTAATGTAAGGGACGTACCATTAGAGAAGGGAAGGGAGGGGGGGGGGGGCGCGGGGAAATTTTTAAATATTTTGATTTGTGGATTTTTCTGTTCTTACCCAACCCGCTTCCTTTTCGAATGGTCCATCCCGAATAGTGATTCATCTAATTAATACTCATAATTAAGAATCGTAAATGTCAACACTACTTCAAGTAGTTTTAGACGTTAATGTTGAGTTCTCATATTCATGATCAGAAGATTGTTATATTAATTCTTGGTACATTTCCTCACAGATTCTGTTTTTACTTTTAGAAGGACCATGTTATTATTGTTACCACATGTGCTCTTTGTGTGGCTGCTTCTGGTGAAGCAATCTTGATAAACAAAGACAGTTCAAACATCCAAGACACAATTCTTTCCTCTGCATCACTTTGAGAGTTCAGTGTTCATTTGAATCTTGTTATCTCACCTCCACGATTACAACTATTTTGATATTTCTAATTGTGTTATTTCTTGTAACCCATTCCGCTTGTATTCATTTCAAACTAAAATATAAATACTTAAACGAGGACAATTTTGGCTTAATTATCCAGAATATTTATTTCGGTTCGTGGAAACAACACGTCTATTTATTATTGAAAAGCTTTCGAACCGTAACCCGGATCTACGCGTTATTTCAAATGTCCGAGGTATCAGGCGGAATTTTGGAATGTGAAATTCTTTCGCATTATCTATGTAATTCGTTTTTTTACATCCGAACACTGGACTCTGCTTGTGATGTCATACTTGCCAAATGTTAGTCCAAAATTAACCAAACCTGGCAAAGGCAGTCGAGTAAAGGCCTAGGTTCTAGGCTGCTATTAGTACTGACCAAGATCCGAGCTTATAAATGGAAAGCCTTGCAATTATTAAAAATATACGTAGTATTTCTACAAGTGATAAGAAATATTTTATCGCCATGCAAACATGCAATGAGCATAAAATATCTAGATTAAATTGTGGTGTGCAAAGGAATTATGCATCAGATATTTTATTAAGGGACATAGTTTTAGAAATTTCTAGTTTTAGAAAATGAATTTAAGTTTCACATTTTTATCAATAAAGACAAATTATATAAAGGTCACCATTTTATGTCAAGATTGGTTGTACCTGAAGGCATGTATACTCTTTTCCGCGTGTAGAAAACATATACAATCAAGCAAACATGTTACTTTTTACTTACCGGTACATATATCTTCTTTACCCTATCTATTTTCACCAAGCTTGCAAGGACTAATTTTTCAGTACACAAAGCTGCACTAACATTAGCCCATGTAACCATTTCATCAAAATTAGAAGCTCTGGCAATATATTGAGCTTTCTTAGAGAATTGAAACGCTTCTTCTAGGAATTCTTCGTTCTTTTCAGGTTTAACTTGGGCATACCGATAATAAAGGGTCGACTGTACCAAATTGAACTGAACCTCACGGTATCGACTCAGCGAATAACCACTACATACCGACTTATTTAACGCCATTATGCTAGACGTCGCTTTTTCCAGCCTTAAATGATTCACATCGTTCTCGATTATCTTTCCTGACAAATGATACCCAAGATGAAATGTTGCTAAACTGATGTACGCCTTTTGTTCAATATCTACCTGTATTTTAGACCTTGGTGCATACCTTAAGTGTTCAAGTACCTTTATAGAAAGATCGGCAGGCGATGGACCGTCCTCATTTAGTGCAGAGTCTTGATTCATTGCTGCAAATGATAATGTCGCTGCTGTAACAATCCCGGGTGATAATTGGTCCGTCTTTAACAAAGCATCTTTCAAAATTTCCCCAGCAGCCTGGCAGTCCCCTGTCACACGCTTTAACGCTGCTTTCAAATACAAATAAATCACCTCGAAGATCAAAAGTTCGTTTGCTTTCGGTAAAAGTTGATGGTAATCAATAAGCAAAAGACGTGCTGTTCTAAGACAGCCTTGCCGGTAACTCACTATCAGTCTTCTTGACAAAACCATTAGCTTCACCTCAACTTCAGGATATTTATTTTCGAATAATTTTGCATATTTTGAAAACATTTTCCATTTGCCATTATTAATGGCCGTCATTAAAACTTCACGAGCCTTAGAGCAATGACGTTCTGTCGCAGATGAGCCCCATTCAATCCGTTGTACTGCCACAGGAATACCTACATCATCAAGTTGCAATACTCTCTTCTTCCAAGTAGCAAACGACATCTTCTTAACTTTCCCCTCCACCATTTCATAACATTCTGGTTCCTCAGTAAACACACCGCCCAGACAAAGAGCGATATAGATCACGATCACAACGGTTAATGGGATTGCCTTGGAGTTTTTATCTACCACTGGCTCGAAGAATATTTCCCATTGTTCCCCTCGTTTTGGTTGACCAATCTTCTCAGGCCAGATCAACTTCTTGATGGCTTTCTCCACTTTCTTTGTTATTTCATTCTTGTCCTGCTCGTTTGGAATCAACTCTCCTTCAACAACTCCATCATCTCTGATACCATAGTAGATGTGACCTCCGTTATGGTTGGCAAACGCTGAAACATAGCAAGTGAATTTATTACCTTTACCTGTCATACGATCTGCTAGTGTGGCACGTTTTGATGCAACTGCTTTTAGATGCTTTAACTGAACATTTTTGCTATCCTGTAAATCACAGTTTGTATCTTTACAAAATATTTTCCAGTGTGAGCCAAGTTGATCTGCTTGCGGACCGACTTTTCTACATATAATATCGTCCTTGACTTTTGTTAGTTGTTCTACAGGAGATACCAGTATAACTTGCGACTGACTCGGTAAATAAAGATTATAATTAGCCGTTACTAAAAAGTCAGCCTTTTGGATTAAAATGACTATGCTTTGCCTTTGTTTATCTTCCTTGAAATCAATTTTTGACACGGTCTGATGTGTTCCAATGATAGATACCAAAGATTGTTCCAGTATTCGAATCACCAAGGGTGGTAAACGTTTGACTTTCTCGCACTCGCACTCGTTATGCAAGATGACTTTTCCACCGTTGCTGTTAAGCATGGCGCAGATAGCAGCTATTATTTCGTTTAATTTTTGTTCCTTGTATTTTCTATCAGCCGAAATGCTTTCAAATTTACAGAAAGATACCGAATGACTCGTCTCATCAACGCAACGTTTCATTGTTGTTCGAGGGTTCGTCTTGGTTGCCTAAAACTGTTTCTTGGCTAGTCAAACTTCGATATTTAGCGATAGAATTATATCGTCTTTTGATTTCGAATTTGAAATGTTTAAAATAGTATTAACACCAAATTGGAATCCATTACCTTCTTCGACACCAAGTAAGGATATATGCTTCAACAAAAACTTAAAGTATTGAGGCTTTCAGTCCGTCCCTACAGTATGGAACAGAAATAACAAGTCTATTTAATTAAATTTGCTTAGGTGGTTACTTATGAGCCATAGTTACTCGAGTCTAGGTTTCGTCGTGTTGAAACAGTGGGTCGCGATTTGGCCTTCGTTGACCCAGTAATGCATTGCGCACTTGTGACCGTGATTTCGCAATATGGCCACTTCGAGGAGTGGCGAAATATAATTATCAATATTATAAATGTGGTCCAACAATACAAGCCATCATTTTACAAACAACATCATTTTTGCGCACGATGCAAAATATATATGCACAGACGACATTATACCACAATGAAACATTGCTTGGTGCAGTGTAAAATTAAATTAACAGGATTAACTTGAACATACTGATGCTTGTGATGTTACTCGGAGTGTATATCCACACTGGGCAAGCTTGAAAAGAATAATATCGATGTAATCTAGTAATAGTCGATAGTAGTCGATATCGAAGAAACTAGACTCAGTTCCGAAATATCATATACTCGAACCGACCTGCCCGCGTAGCTCAGTTGGCAGAGCATATATTGGTATTCCAAAGGTTGTAGGTTCGATTCTCACCATGGCCAGGCATATTTTTCAAGCTAGCTTGTACGGTGTGGATATACACTCAAAGTAACATCACAAGCATCATATTCACCTACAATACACAACACCAACACAGAAATAATTCTTGAACGTACTGATTACTAAGCTGGTCAACATGGGGCTTCGTAGATATTATTCCATGGTTATGTGACTTTTTGTCTGATCGCAGACAGAACTATGCAATACGAACTAGATCATATTTCAAACTGGTCCGACCAAAACTATAATTATGAAACTTGATCCGAAAAAATGTGAAGAATTTAGAGTCAATTTCCAACGTGATTTGTCTGATTTACCATAACTCACCATTGATAGAATACCACTTGAAATGATTAGCAGCCATAACTTGTTAGGTCTTCAAATCCAAGACGACTTAAAATGGAATGAACACGTTGATATTATTACCAAGAAAGCCGCAAGACGTTTGTATATTATTCGTACTCTGAAGCGTAACGGAGTACCTGAGGATGACCTAATAAGTATATAATTATACATCTCTTATCCGCTCCATATTGGATTACGGCTGCGCTACGTGTCATACACGCCTCCCTTCTTTCCTTGTTGAGAAGATTGAACGCATACAGAAGCGATTTTTCCGCATTACATTCCCACATTTATCTTACCGTGAAGCCTTAGTAGCTCTTACTGGATGCCCAAGACTTGAAGACAACCGTCAACGCTTGTGCTTAAAACTTTTTAATAAACTTAAACTCAGCCAAGTTTGAAATTTTCTCACCTAATACCTTGCATGAGGTATGAATCACACGGACGATTTTAATAATAAAAAAATATTCTAAAATATTTATTTAATATTTTAATAATAAAAATATTTTAATATTTTTTATTCTTAATTGTCTTTATATAAATGTAGAACAGATAGATTTATAATCAGCAATAACTAAGATCATTTAAATTTGTCACTATATACTATTGAATGTAATATATTATTTTATACCGTGTACTATATAATGTAATTCACCTTACATGGTGCGAATTTATATATTTTTAATAAATTTAATTGAATTGAATATTCCAAATGTACGTGTGAGTAAATCTGTATTTTTCGTTGCGAATTCAAAAACTAATTTCAAACTTTTTTGTGTGTTTTTGAATAAATCTGTATTTTTATAAATTGGGAATTTATTTTTGCTTTGGTTTTTTTACTTTCTTGTCTCTATAGCTACCTCCTCCGCAGGCCATAAAGCCCGTAATGCGTATGCCCGTTCGCAGGTTGAAATTTGAAATTTGAGACGAAGGTTTGCGCTGTAGGGCCTGCTGAATAACGTGTCGATTACTTGGCTTATAGTGTCGATTACTCGGTTGGATCAAATTTCTTAAAAAATATGGCACATAATCTGCCAATTTCTAAATACATCTTGGCAGTTATGGCGGATAAAAGCGACGAGAAGATTCAAAGAATGGAAGGTTTTACAAGCAGAAGCGATAGTGATATAGACGTCGTGAATCTATCATTTGGCTGGCAGATGGGATGTTTTGATTATACAGGGTCTCTCAAAAAAACTGGACAGATTTGAAATTGCTCTCAATTTCCAAAAACAACTATTGGTATCCAGTTTTTGATGTATATAACTTCTTTTGGTACTTATAATGAAAAAAATTCTCGAACTCAATGTTTGTAAACCAGGGGAGGGTGTCTTTTCTAACAAACTAAAATGGCTTGGGCACGAAACTCGAAAGCTTTAATCTCATTTTGAGCTAATAGATGGAAAATTTGTTGGGTTTTTAATTACTGTACAATTTGCAATTTAATTACTGTACAATTTGCAATTACTGCACAAGACAATTTGCTTTAGTTTAAGCCCTTTAGCTATTAATTTTTTCCTAAAAAATCAGCCTTTCGCATGCTTAATTAATGCATTTACCTAATTTGCATATTGCTGACATATGCAAATTAAGCAAAGGCATTAATTAAGCATGCAAATAGCTGATTTTAACTGGGGAGAAATGTAAGTTTGCGTGAATAGTTAAAGGACTCAAACTAAAGCAAATGGTCTGAAATTTTGTACAGTAATTAAAAACCCAACACATTTTCTATCTATTAACTCAAAATGTGAAGCTGTTAAATAAAAAAAAAAGCTTAAAAAGCTTAAAAGCTTTTAAAGCTTTTAAATTTTGTGCGTACGCCATTTTTTACTTTGTTGGAAAAAACACACCCCTGGTTCACAAAATTTGAGTTCGAGAATTTTTTTTCATTATTCTACATTAAAAGTACCCAAAGAAGCTATATATACATAAAAAACTGGATACTAATAGTTGTTTTGCGAAATTGAGAGCAAATTCATGTCTGTTGAGTTTTCAGTGATACACCCTGTATACACACGCATTTAAATAGTTACGCTGTACTGTATGAAAGACAAATATAAATGGAATAAATATCGTGGATAAACAGCATGGCTGACATACGACGTGTCAATAAAAGCGTGTTTTCTCTTTTACAATTTAATATGCAAATTAACTGATATTTATCTGCTTCTCTTTATAAATCAATGTACGCTTGTTTGTTCAGTATTCACTGTTTTTATGTATATTGCGGATACGAAAAGCGGTCTATATCAGAAGTAGTTAAAAGACTTTAATTATAATGTTGTTCTGGCAAAATGATATATAAATATAATGGCTTCCGCCATCTTGGAAATTATTCCGCAAGCCTTTCCGTTCGTTTCCAACCAAGCAGGCCTTGATATTTTTAAAGGCCCGCGGAGGCGGTAGTTTCTATGATGCTTTTCAGTTCTCACACCATTATTACGCTTATTTTAGTCCGTTTTCCTGACCGATAAAACTGTTGTTTAACTGCAGTCTCTGGCCAATTTAATTCCATACATGTAAGAAAATTTTGTTCGGCTTTACTTCATTTTGAGCTGGAGTCAGCCTTCCATGTTATAGTTCAGTGCTTTAGACTTCGCTAATCCTTTCGTTTCCGTGGGTGTAAATAGCCAGACGGAATTAGTCAGGAAGCTCCACTCATCGAAGTGTTTTTCAGGGAGCTCGTTAGGGCTGGAGGAAAAATGGCCAAAACTCTCATCAGTCACCCCAAATACTGACAAAATTAGATGAACTTCAAAGCTTTGAGTGAGTGAGTGAGTGAGTGAGTGAGTGAGTGAGTGAGTGAGTGAGTCAGTTGGAATTAATGCAAAACGAAATTTCTCGCACTGTTGAGACTGCACGCAACAAAAAATGCATGTATTGACATAAACTCATATTTATAATACATAAAGTTATATATTATTACAGAAACTAAATATCCAACCCCATTTATATGTATGGCTCCTCTACCTGACTTTAGGTACAGATAATCCCCAAAAATGAGATTCGTTATTACATTGGCTTACATTGCATTAACTCAACTCATTCCATATCGACAAGAACGAGATCTTGTCTTTTGGCAAAGCATCAAGATAGACGAGTATTACTGGAATCGAATAATATTGATAAAGATGACAAGAAATATGATTAGTAAAATACTTATAAGGATCTACATGGTCCAATGGCGATAGCCATGTGTCTACTGAATTTAATTAATTAAAAGTAAATGTAATAATAGTTTACCTTCAAATTGATCATTCATAGCTAAATTTGCACTAAAAATTTAAGTGGTCGTATTCTTGACTAACTTCATCAGTGATGGGTAAAAAGTTCCGATGAGGACCTGTACCCGATTAGGGAATTTCCCAATATATAGGCCTATGGCACTGCTCATTGAACGCGGAAAACCAAATATATTACAAAATTATGTCCCCTGGACGGCTGTTTTAGGCGGATTTCTCGTTTTAGCGACTTTACTGTATGTCAGTTAACATAATAACGTGTGGAAAATTAAAAATTATCATAAATTAAAAGATATGAGAAAGACGTTCTTCAACAGTCAGAGCTCTTCCTTGTCAGAACTAATTCAGTATGAAAATCCTCCCAGTTACAGTCTATAGGTGCTTATAATAAACGTGTTCAGTTAAATCTAGAACTGACCGTTTTAAAAACTGTTTCATTCCGTCATGAGTTGTCGACTGTGCTACACACTAATTCAAATTGTTATTGAGGTAAAATGTTCCGATACTCGGGGAAAGTTGTCGTATAGGGAAATTCCCTTTTACGCTGCGTATAACGGACTCGTTCTTTCCATTGTATTTCAGTTCTTGTAAAGCTACATCGAAGATGCCGGTTGTCTGTGCGGCGAGAGTTGAAGAGCAGATATATCCGCTGACTGAATGTAGCATATAATCATATGCGGACAATCTTCTAGCTTACCGGCTCCATTCACGTAGATAATTTGTTGTAGGTAAGACGAGTCTTAACACACTGCTTTGGACATTGTCCAGCTGCTAAAAGCCGTCTACGTATATTTGCTATATATTATAAGAGCCAGAATTGATAGCCTAATATTAAAGGCCTTAGTCCTAAATCCTATCTCGGGGCCCTCTTAAATAATTTTATAGTGCACATATTATACGTTTCATGTCGCATGTTTCCGTTTATTTCCTGAATAAATATTGCCAGCCTATATTGTTATATACGAAGTGTCATACATATATCCAAATAAAAGCTTACCTCGTTTGAATTCTGCAACGATCGATCACCTTTGAACATGGTAGGTTAATAAGTTAAACTAATTTCAAAACTCAAAACAAAACTGACAGATAACCGTGCTTGAAGCACAGAATAAATAATAGAACAGAATGGCAACTGACGGGTGCAACGCGTCCGTAATTTTTTATGCGCATGCGTGAGGTCCGCCATTATTATTATTATTATTATTATTATTAAAACTTATTTACAAACAATAACCCTTCAGCCTACGCTGCTTTTAAAGGGGTTGTTTACATAAAAGAAAGTACAAAATAAATATTTACAAAATAGTATAAGTATTTACAAAATAGTGTAATTGACTAGGAGTCTTTACAATTGGATATTTTATCAACGTAGGTGATTGTTGAGCTTAGTTTTAAAAGAATGTATCGTCAACTGTTCGTGAACGTCTAAGATTTCGTTAGGTAATGAGTTCCAGGCGGAAGCTCCTCGATATGAAAATGACATTTTCATAAATGATCTATTAGGTTTATCGAGAGTTAGTTTCCGCCCGTTGCTCCGCATGTGGTGACTTCTATTATCACAGTAGGAGAACATATTACAGATGCACTCCGGCGCTATACCTCGGATAGCCTTAAACGTAATTAGAAATTCTCTTTTTTTAAGAATGTTATCTATTGGATGTCAACCTAGACTCTGGAGGAATGTTTTTGATCTTGTTTCATAGTTTAATCCAGTAATTATACGAGCGGCTCGCTTTTGTAATTTATAAAGTTTTTCCAAATTTGTTTTGTTTCCATCGTTCCAAACTGTCGAACAGTATGTAAAGTAAGGAACTACCAGGGAATTGTAAATACGGAGTACGTCGTTGTAAGGTACGTGTGGTTTTGCCTTTCTAAGCAGAGCTATTGCACTTGAAAGTTTTTTGCATTGCTCATTAATGTGTTCAGTCCACCTTAGTTCGTTATCAATTGTAATACCTAAGGTTTTTTTTGGCTTAACTTGTTTAATAATGGATCCGTTTATATGTATACGAATATCAGTGCGAAATTGATTAAGTTTTCTTTTTGAGGCTATTATCATAAATTCTGTTTTGTCTGTGTTCAATGTCAACCTATTTGCTTCTAACCAGTCGTTAACATTGGATAAGTCAGCGTTTAGTTTGCGCTCAATTTCGGCTGGGGTCCTTCCTGTGCATGATAGATTGATGTCATCAGCAAACATGGATGCTTGTGTGTACTCAAGGCACATTGGTAAATCATTTATGTACAATGAGAATAGCAATGGTCCCAGATTGAAACCCTGTGGTACTCCACATTGAACTGTTTCTTGGCCTGACTTGTTATTATTAATGACACAAACTTGTTTTCTGTTGTTTAAGTAAGATGCTAGTAATTTTAGAGGAGTACCCTTTATACCATATTGGTATAGCTTTTGTAGGAGAATAGAATGATCGACCGTGTCAAACGGTTTTTTAAGATCCAAAAATAGCACTCCATTTGCCATTCCTTTATCCATGTTGAGTAGCCATTGATCTGTGCATTTTAATAGGGCAGTTTCTGTAGAATGATTTGGTCTAAAGCCAAATTGCTGTTTACAAATAATGTCGTTGTCATTGATATATGAACTTAATTGGTCGTATATAATCTTTTCAAGGATTTTGGCGACAGTAGGAATTACAGATATAGGCCGGTAGTTTCCGCATTCCGCCTTGTCACCTTCTTTATGAATAGGTATTATTTTAGCAAGTTTTAAATCATCTGGGAAAATGCCAGTGCAGTGGCGTGCTGGGTACTATTTTTCTGGGGGGGCCAGTGGGGTATCAACCAATATGCGCCCCTATAATGTGACGCTTGATAAACGAGGGCCGAAGGCACGAGCCGAGCGCCG